CCTCGGCCCATTCTGATTCACGGTCTTCATCTTCCTCCTCCTCCTCCGTGTCCTCTCCAGGCCGACACACCCAGGCCTTCGAGAAGGCACCTGTAGGGGGGGTGGAGGAGGACACCTCAGCTTCTCCGTCTTCCTCAGCCCATTCTGATTCACTGTCTTCATCTTCCTCCTCCTCCGTGTCCTCTCCAGGCCGACACACCCAGTTTTTCAAGAAGGCACTTGTGGAAGGAGGGATGGAGAAAGAACCTTCAGCTCCTTCCTCCTTCTCAGCTACCCCCACAGGGTTGTCCTTGTCCTCATCATCCTTCTCTTCCGTGTTCTCTCTGGGTTGATCCTCCCAGGCCCCGTGCAGCAGCCTCTGGGCTGGAACCGGGGAGTGTGGCTCCGGGCCAGCCTGTCCTTTCTCAGCTGCCCCATGGGCCTTCTCGTCGTCGTCCTCGGACTCCTCTCCTGGACGATACTCCCAGGCCCTGAGCTTAGAGGCTGAAGAGGAGGGGGCAATGGAGCTCTTCTGGGCTTCTCTGTTTCCTGGTTTTTTTTCTTCCTCCGTGGCTTGATCTGTTCCCTCCCCTGGGCAATACACCCAAGTGCTGGGCTTGGATCCCGGGAAGAAGGGGGAGGGAGGGGTTCCAGGAGCCTCTTTCTCTACAGCGTCTCCATCCTCCTCTCCCACCCCTGGCCAGCACTCGCAGTGTGACACAGGATAAGAGAACTTGGTCACTCCCCGGTCTTCAGCGACTCCCTCTTCCTCGGCTGCCTCCTCCCCAGGGTTCTTATCAGAGGCTTGCAGGGTTCTTATCGGAGGGCTGGGGGGCAGGCGGGCAGGCTGGCCATCCCTGTGCCCACTTACCCACCCCCTGGGGACACTCAGTGCTGCAAAGGGCTGGGGGGCAGGCGGGCAGGCTGGCCATCCCTGTGCCCACTTACCCGCCCCCTGGAGTCCTCACTATACTCTTCATCGTCATCATCTGAATGTCCCCAGGCGCCGAGAAGGGGACTGTCGGCTTTCTGGTCAAGGCAGACACCCCAGGACGCTTCTCCGTCCTCTCCCGGTGCTCTGCTGTGGTCAGCCTGCCCTCGGTGGTGCCTGTTCCCGAGGGCACAGTGGGCTGCCAGAGGGGCCTCAGCCTTCACCTCCAGGCCGGCTTCTACGTCATCTGTGCCCATTATCGCGCCCACCAGCCAGGGCTCAGGGGGCCCTGGGCCCCTCAGGCGGCCCCAGGCCCGGCTAAGGAAGCCCATCAGTGGGGACAGGAGGAAGAACGGATGGGCGTCCCTCCAGGAGGTGGCTTGATAGGGCACTTGGCCTGGTGCCATCTGTCTGGGCTGTAAAAAGGGGAGAAAAAAAGAAAATAAAGCCTAAGAGCCATTTAAGAGATGGCGTGGGATGTGACGGTGAGTCACAGCCCCGGAAATAGTAACACAGTAACCAAGTAAGTACATAGCAACCGCAGGATCCTTTCTGATCCCAGGGACGCCCACCCCATCCCACCCGGGTTCCTTTCTCCCCTCTCAACGCCCAGGAGTCTGGGACCCTGTCCTCCCTCCCCTTAGATCCAGGAGTCCGACCCCCAGCCCCTCTTTTCTCAGACCCCAATACGAAAAACAAAGGCCTTCTACTTGCGTCCCTTGGGGACAAAATCCTAGTCCCCATTCGTCATCCTCCTGGGGATTGACAGATCAGGCCTCCATTACATTCCTCCCTTGGAGACAAAAACATTCCGACCCCCATACGATTCTGTCCCAGGGCCCAGAGGCTCTCAGACCCCCCCTCCCTCGGCCGAGAACCCCAGGCTCGCACCCCCCTACTCCTGCCTAAGGACCACTCCTCTGTACCCCAGAGTCCGTCCCCACCCCGCCCCTTCCCAGACCCAGGGGTCCACCCCCAGGCCCTCCTGTCTCGAACGCAGAAGCCCCAGCCCCTTACTGACCAGGAGTTTCCAGCCACCAGCTCCCCGGGGACCGGGCGTTGCCACCCTTTACTCACCGTTGGGGCTGCACGTCACCCGGGGGACAGGAGGGCCGGCTCGGGCTTCCAGAAGCGATCGCAGGTCCGGACGGCTCGGGAATCCAGCGTGTTCATCTCACCTTCAGGGGTCGGGCTCGCGGACACTCAAAGTGTCAGGGGCTGAGCAAGCGCTGTCGCGACAAAGCGGCGCGGAGTCGTGCGTCGTCTCACACACATAAACAACACCTGCGCTGGAAACGGATCCAATTAGCTGCGTCGCCGCCCGCACGGCTTTTATAGTCAGTCGCGCCTGACGTATTGACGCCACGAGGAGAGGCGGGGTTTCGAAACGACAACACCAAGTGGGAAGGGGAAAATGAGAGCGGACATCTCTCGGAAATTCCAGGCTCCGTGACGCTGCGACGGCGTTTCCGAGCGTGGCCACGCCCCCAAGGAGCGAACTGTCAATCAGGCGCGTGGACCGAGAGCCGCGAGCTGGCCTGCTCTGATCGGATATCTTCCCACCCCAAGTGGCCCAGCAGGCCAGCCTAGAGTGTCCCACCTTCACATCGGTCAGCTTCCTGGGTGGGAGGGTGTCATTGCTCCTATTTCACGGGTGAAGGAAGACTTGGAAATGAAGCCACTTGCCCTGGGTGGTGGGAGCAGAGCCCACTGCCAAAAAGGAGATATTTTTATTTTTTTTTGCTACAAGGCGTGTGCGCTCGCCAGACAGAGAGAGAGAGATACAGAGAGACAGAAAGCGAAAAATCACCCCCCAGTGGGATGGCCACTCCGCAATCCCTTCTCCTCCATTCTTCTCTCAGGATCTTGGGCACACATGCACACGTGCCCGGCGTGAGTTTAAGCCACCAGGTCCGGGACTCGAATCGCGGTCGACTACGTGGGAGTCCAGCGACATAGCCATTACTCTAACTGCTGGTTCCAGGAGGAGAATGTAAGCACCATGAGGTCAGGCACTTCGCCTGGCCTACTGCTGTCTTCACAGTGGCTACAACAGCGTCTGGCACACAGTAGGTGCTCAACAACTATGTGGTGAACGGCTGTTGAACTGACAGCTCAGACTCCCTCCCAGTGTCCTCCCGACCACGCCTGGAGTTGCCTCCTTCAGGCTGTGCAAAAGCCCTGCTGGTGCGGACTGAAGGATGACTGGGAGTCGGGAGCGGGAGGGTCTCTCCTGCAAGTTCCAGACCCCGGGACACCGCCAATCCCCAGGCCCTCTTCCCTACTTGGTCCATAATCTTGCACCTCAAAATACGCAGAGGAGCAGAGGAACCGTGTCTCCCTCCTGAGGGGGTTGTCCTCATTCTCGCGCAGCCTTCTCACCTGGACCTCAGGTGGGGATCTGAACTGGTCACTAGCCAGGGATCTGGGACCATCCCCTCCTCCCCCTGGACCTGGACAAGCCATCCCCAGCCCCATATGATCCAAGCCACACTGTCAGACGCCCAGCAGTCTGGATGCCTAAACCCCATCCATGGGGTGGGGGTGGGGGTTCAAGAGTCTGTGTCCCACCCCTTGCAAGACTCCAGCCCAGGGGGGTAGTGGTCGGTAGAAGCCCCTGACCACAAACACCCCACGGGGCCCTGGATTTCAAGTCTCAGCTCCTGTTCTCCGAGTGTGAGAAGTCCCAGCCTGAGCCCCGGCGGGACCCAGGGTGTGTGTGTGGGGGGCAGCCCCTCCCCTCCGCTGTGGGGGCAGCTGAGCCAGGGGTCAGGCTATGGTGGGGAGGCCAGAAGGGGCGGGGACAGCCGGGACTGGGAGGGGAGACAGCAGCGTGGGCGGGTGGCAGAGGGAGGGAAAGGCCAGCAGAGAGGAAAGAGAAACTGGGAGAAAGGAAGAGGGAAAGTGAGGGGAGAGGACTCAGCGGACTTGCGAGGCCAGAGAGGAAGAGATTGAGCGCGCGGGAGAGAGACAGGGCAGACAGAGAGACGGGCGTGGGGTGGGGTGGGGTGGGACTCTGCGGGTAGAGGAAAAGATTTGGACAGAAACAGGAAGATTGGGAGAGTGATCTGGGAGAGAATGAGTGAGAGAGAGGCTGGCAGAGACAGAGCTTGGCGGAGGAGAGACAGAAGGTGAGACTGGGGAGAGAGACAACCTGCAAGGCGGTTGGAAAGAGAGAGGGAGACCATAAAAGACGGGAGACAGGCAAAAAGAGGGTGCGAGTGAGCAGGTGAAAGCGAGGTTAAGAACTGAGAGCCAGCGCCTAGAGACAAAGGGAGGCAGGACTGGGCGCCAGCACCCTCTGTGTCCTCTTGCCCCCGTCGTTGGGACCCCACAGCGGGGTAAGTTACCTGGCTGGGTTGGGAGGGGCTGTCTGGGTGCACATTCCTGGTGGGGCTGGGCTTGGCCTGGGGGGTCGGCAGGGATGATTTGAGGGTGCGCGTGGGAGGGCAGGAGACAGGTAGCCTGAAGCAGCCGGAAGGAGGCAGGGAATGGGGTCTCTAAGTACAGAGAGGGTCAAATTCCTGGCCAGTGCACAGCGGGCAGGCATAAAGGAGCCCCTATTCTCCAGCCCAGGCTGCAGACAGCTGCCCCCTCCCCACAGCTGCCAGGCCGCCCACCTCTCTTGGCATCACTCTTGGTATGCGGTCCCGGGCCATGGCCTCCCCCCAACCCCCAGCCCCTAAACAACAGGCTCTTTCTCCTCAGTCTCCTCTGACCTCCACACCCCTGACCCTGAATGTCTCTGTCTCAGCTGGGTCGGCTGCAGGGACCGGGCCATGCTTTCTCTCCCCAGCCCTAGATGGAGGAAGGCAGACCTCGGAGCAGCCTGAGCCTGGCCAGCAGCGCCTCCACCATCTCTTCTCTCAGCAGCCTGAGCACCAAGGTCCGAGCTTCCGGGCGGGGATGGAGAGGAGGTGGGGCCCCATCCCGGTGTTTCCCAGCCCTGGATTCCATGCCAGTCTGGAGCCTCCTATTAAAGCCAGGATCCTCCCGTGGCAGACCGAGTAACCCCAGATTGCCCACCGGCCACAGCCAGGAATCCAGAGGCACTCCCAGCGCTGTCCACACCCCTCGTACTTTCCTGATTCTAAGCCTGGGCCCGGGCTGCTAAGATAAAGCCACTCCCCAGCCACGAGGTCCCTTGAGGAGCTCAGATACGGTGGCCAGTATCGTGTCCTATCCCAGGCATCCCATCTTACTCTAACGAAATCCGGTCTGCAAAGACGCCCTCTGACAAGGCCCCAGATAACCGCATCCCAGATGGACACGCATTTCTGTGATTTCCGTGTCCTCCTGCTGTGTCACCGGCACATTTCCAGCTTCCCGAGTTCGGATCCCGGAGACCTGGTCCCAGCCTTGCTCAGCAGCACCTCAGAGGAAGGCTGCCCTGGGCAGTCTGGCGATGGCTGCCTGGCCGTCTGGGGTATCAGGCAAGGCTGCCCCATCTGAGCAGGATGGAGAGATTCGAACCCGTCCCACCTTGGACTCGGTAGCTAAGGCATGTCATCTTGTGGTGCTGAGGCACCCTCTGATTCACCAGGGACTTGGCGTGGATGTTCTCCCCAATTACGGCCCTCCAGCCGACATCCCCAGTTCTACCTCCCGAGGCTCTCGGACTCCCTGGCTCTGGTGGCCAAGGGCCTCTTCTTGGCAGGCGACCTTGATTCCCGGATTCCTTTCCAACAGCCTCTGAGCATCTCCCTCTGCCCATCCAAAAGGCTCTCTCAGCTCTGCACTAGGAGCACCCCCATACAGGCCCCAGACTCGGCTCCCTCTAACCTGGTTACTAAGGCCAAGATTGGGCCTTTGGTGGTCTGAGTGCCACCACAGCCCCTCCCTGGGCCCCAGTGACTGCTGTCCCCTTCTCTCTGCAGAAGCCCGCCCGGACGGTCCACAAGGTCCATGCCTTCGGCAAGAGAGGAAATGCGCTCAGAAGGGACCCCAATCTCCCCGTGCACATCCGAGGCTGGCTTCATAAGCAGGTGGGGTGAGCAGGAGAGGGACGGGCACGCTGGGGCTGTGTCTGCGGGCGTCCGCCTTCCTCTCCGTCCAGGTCCTCAAAAGGAGTCTCTTTTGCTATCATCGTCTCACCCCCATGTCATTGTTCCATTCATTCACTGACCACCTCCTGTTTAAAAAAAGAATTATTTTATTTAACATTATTATTTAAAAAATATTTCCAGAGACACACACACACAGAGAGACAGAGAGACAGAGACAGTGAGAAAGCAAGCCTCCAGATCCAGGACTTGAACCATAGTTGGTCATGTGGGAGTCCAGCACTCTTAACCACCACACCACCTGCCAGCCCCTGACCACTTCCTTGTAAAAAGTTTATTTATTTATGTACATACATATATATAGAGAGAGATACAGTTTATTTATTTATGTACATACATATATATATAGAGAGATACCCCAACAGGGTCTCCACACCCCCACTCCTGGCCGGCCCTGGGTCACACACAGGCACGTGCCTGCCTGGACTGGGATGTGAACCCAGATCCTTCCCATGAGAGTCCAGCTATATTATATTATTCTATTTTTTAACTACATTTTTTTTTTTTTTAGTTTTTTCGCATAGAGTTGGAGACACACAGAGAGGAAAAGTGACAAATCATCTCCTGGGGGGATGGCCACGCCACAATCCCTTCTCTTACATCCTTCCCTTGAGATTTTGGGCATGCACATACATGTGCCCAGTGTGATTTTCAAGCCACCAGGTCTGGGACTTGAACCATGGAGTTAGCCATGTGTGATCCAGTGCCTTAACCACCACGCCACCTGCTGGTCCTGAGATTCCAATCATACTACGTCTGTGCCACTGCCGGTTCCCTCACTGACTACTTCTTGAACTTGTACAGTGTTCTTAGTCCCAGAGTACCCTGCAAATAAGACAAGTAAGTATCTATGAGGGTTCAAAAAGTTCACGAAAAGACAGAATTAAAGTTTATTTCCGTGGGAAAAAGATTGAGGGGTCAGCCACTGGTGTGGTGGTTGAGGTGGCTGGATCCCACATGGACAGCTGTGCAGTTCGAGTCCAGGCCCCGGTGGCCTGGGAAACATGCCCGGCGTGTGTCCGTGCATGCCCAAAGTCCTGAGAGAAGGATGGAGGAGAAGGGATTTAGTGCAGCCAGCCCCTCGGGGGTTGCTTTCTCATGTTTCCTACCTCTCTCTGTCTCTGTCTCTCTCCAGTAAGCGCCCTATGGCAAATTAAAAAAACGATTGCTAGGGAACCAGCAGTTAGCGTAATGGCTATGTCGCTGGACTCCCACGTAGTCGACCGCGGTTGTGGTGCTGGCCCCCGTGGCTTAAAACTCACGCCGGGCGCGTGTGAGTGCGTGCCCAAGATCCCGAGAGGAGAATGGAGGAGAAGGGATTGCGGCGTGACCATCCCCCCGGAGGGTGATTTCTCTCTTTCTGTCTCTCTGTCCCTCTCTGTCTGTCTGGCGAGCGCACGCGCCCTATAGCAAAAAATCTCTCAAAAAATAAAACAAAAAAACCAACGATTGCTAGAGTGTGTGCGAAAAAACAGGAGAGAGAGAGAGCACCCCCTAGTAAATGATCAGGCCGCCATCCCCTCTCCATCTCTCCGTCCTGTCGGGATTTTGAACATGCATACATATGCACCCAGCATGTTCTCGACACCAGATCCAGGACTCAAACCATGGGGTCAGCCACCAGGCCACTGAGCCAGGCCGTGCGAAATCTGTTAACATGGCTTCTAGTCTGCCTGGCTTTCTTTCTTTCTTTTTTAAAAAAGAATTACCTTATTTAACTTTATTTATCTATCTTTAATTTGACAGACAAGGATAGAGAGAGACAGCAAGAGATAGAGAAAGGGGGAAAGGGAGAAAGCAAGCCATCAGGTCTGGAACTTGAACCAAGGTCGGACATGTGGGAGTCTAGCGCCTTTAACCACCATGCCACCTGCTGGCTCCACCACCCCCCTTTTTTTTCTAAGAGAGATTTTTGCTGTAGGGCTCATGTGCTTGCTGGAGAGACAGAGAGAAACAGAGAGTTAGGAAGAGGGAAATCACTCTCCAGGGGGCTTGGCCAAATCACAATCCCTTCTCCATTTTCCTCTCAAGATTTTGGGCATGAATGCACATGTGCGCAGCGTGTTTTCTTTTTTTTTTTAATATTTTATTTAAATTTATTTATTTATTTCAATTTGACCAGAGAAGGACAGAGTGAGAAAGAGGGAAAGTGAGAAAGCAAGCTGCCAGGTCCAGGACTCAAACCATGGTCGGCCATGTGGGAGTCCAGTGCCCTTAACCACCATGCCACCTACCAGCACCCCCACATGAGTTTTAAGTCACCGGATCTGGGACTTGAACGGCAACTACGTGGGAGTCCAGCGATGTAACTGTTTGTTATACCACCTGCTGGTCTCAACATGGCTTCCAGTCATGCTTATGCACACTCAAGTTTGAGACTCCTCACAGACTGGTAAACTGGGGGAAGGATGTTGAGTTTGCTTGGATTTTAATTTTGCCAGTAGGGTGTACATGCTCTCTGGAGAGACAGAGAAACAGAGAGGGAGAGAGTGAAAGCAACCTCCGAGGGGGCGTGGTCATGCTCCAGTCTTTTCTGTTCCATTTCTCTATTCTGTTGGGATTTGGAGCATGGATACATGCCTATGGCAGGTTTTCAAGTTGCCATAGCCAGGACTTGAACCACATGGTTAGCCATGTGGGATATGACTCTTTTAACCACCAGGACACAGAGCCAGCCCCCCACTTTTTTTCTTTTTTTTAATTTGTAAAACCCGGTCATTTTAATGTTTTGGTACAATTTAATAAATAATCTCTCGATGACTGCAGACACGTAAGGCCGGCCATATTCAGAAATGTCAGTCATGGCGGTTTTCAGGCTGGTGAATCATCTTCAAAACTTACAAGGAGTTACTCGCATGCAGCTGCGATCCAACCAGTATGGCAGCGTTTATGCAGCCACCGTTTTCAGGACTACTGGGAACGTGGGCACATCTCCCCCACAGAGCCTTGCCTCCTGTGTCACAAGGCCCAACTCGCTCACGTTCACCTCAGTGACAGCACCTTTGGTGGTGACACCCGAGTTGTACACAGTGGGGCTGAGGGAGTCTCCTTCACACCGAGTATGGGCGGGCAAAGGGCGGCGTTCAGCTCAGGATGTTACGTGGGGCTCCTTGAAACCTAAGCCCGTGGGCCTAATGCATCACTCCTATTTAGGTGGTTTCTAGTAAAGCGTCTCCAACAAAGCAGGCTCTGTGCCATCCTCTCCCATGCCTGCTTCCTCTTTCCTGTTCGAATAACTTTTAATACTTCCGTTTCTCCCTGGGCTCGAACTTGGGGTAGAGGCTTCTCATCACTCTTCTGTTTGGCGTTCCTCTTTCCGTGCCTCTCGGTAGCCTTTTTCATTTGTATTTTCTCAGCATGGCCGTTGATGACAGAGCTTAGCCTTCAGACCAGTCACCTTTGTTGGTTTCTTTGAATGTTCATGAGCCTCTCAACTTTCTTACTCTTTTTCTCATGGTAATCCACACAGTATCCATAGCGTTTACGATGTAATTCAATATATTCGTGTTATGGCGTGGTGATGGCTGCAGAGTCGCCAGGAGCAGCCTCCTGGAGGCAAAGAAGTTGTCAACTTTCCAGTCAGCCCAAAATTTAAGTGCGATAGTAAGCTCTCTTTTGTTTTTTTTTTTAATTTTTTTTAATTCAATTTCATTTATTCATTCATTTATTTTAATTTGACCAGAGAGACATAGAGAGAGGAAAGTGAGAAAGCAAGCCACCAGGTCCGGGACTTGAACCGTGGTCGGCCATGTGGGAGTGTCCAGCGCCTTGCCAGTTTTGAGAGGGGCATTACACACTCTGACTTGAACTTTTTTTTTTTTTAAAGAGAGATGTTTGCTATAGGGTACATGTGCTCACTGGAAAGACACAGAAGACAGAAAGTGAGAACCCCAGGGTGATGGCCACGCCCCAACCCCTTCTCCATTCTCTTCTCAGGATCTCGGGATGCACGCACAGGTGCCCCACGTGAGCTTAGGCCATCAGGTCCAGTACTTAAACTGTAGTCAACTACGCAGGAGTCCAGCGATGTAACCACTATGCCACCTGCTGGCCCTGACTTGAACTTTTTAAAAGTCATAGCTTCTACAGAAACACTGAAGAGACAGGGGAAGAGATGAGGGGAGGGAGGTTTGGATGGGGAGGAGCAGTTTAGGCAAAAGAGTGGGGAGACACAGGATTAGGGTTATGGGTCCTGCCACAGGGGCCAGTAGGTGATGTGGTGATTGGGGTGCTGATTCCCACATGGGTGACTGTGGTTTGAGTCCCAGACCCAGTGGCTTGGGAAATCATTGCTGCCTTCATGTGCGTGCATACCCCAAATCCCAGGAAGAAAATGGAGAAGAGATTACATCGTGGCAACCCCCCAGGGAGTGATTTCTTACTTTCCCTCTGACTCTCCGGGGAGCATATGTTCCCTACGGCAAAAACCTAAAACAAAACAAAACAAAACAAAAGCTCACTACAACATCTTGACCCCCAGTGGGCACAGGTGAGAAAACGTGAGGGTCCTAGTGGGGAAATGACTTCTTTGAGGCACAGTTTGTAAAAGCTGGGGTTCAGGATCAAACTCAGATAGGGTCTGTCCAGAATCTATTTGACCCCAACGCACTGGCTTCCAGCTCTCCGCCTGGACCTGCGGCATCAGCCATGCCTCTCTGTCCTTCCCTCCTCTCGCTTTGGCCTGTCTCTGTCCCCTCTCTCGGTCCCTCTCTCCCAGGTCTCTGGGTCTCTGTCCCACAGTCGCTGTCTTCATCTCCTGTCTCCTCCCTCATCTCCTTAGGCCTCTTTCCCCATCTCTCTCCCCAGGACAGCGCTGGGCTCCGGCTCTGGAAACGCCGCTGGTTCGTCCTCTCTGGCCACTGCCTCTTCTATTACAAGGGCAAGTGCCCCGGTTGGCATGAGGTGGGAGGGTCTCCCTTCCTTTCCATCCTCCCTTCCCGCTAACCTCTTGGCCTCCGGACCCCTCCGTGATCCCTGATCCCAAGCCCCTCTTTGCAGACAGCCGCGAGGAAAGTGTCCTGGGCAGCGTCCTGCTTCCCAGCTATAGCATCCGGCCAGACGGGCCCGGGGCCCCCCGGGGGCGGCGCTTCACCTTCACGGTGAGTCTTCTGTCTGTCGGTCCCCGCAGCACAAGGCCGTGGGAACCCCCGGGGAGAGCGGTGGACGTCTGTCCGGTAGACTCCACGCCCAGCAAGCACGGGCGTGTGCACTGCTGGAGCTAACAGGCCTGGTCCAGGGCCCGCGGCGCCCTTCCCACGCGCTGACTTCCCGCAGGCCGAGCACCCGGGCATGAGGACCTACGTTCTGGCGGCCGACACCTTAGAGGACCTGCGGGGCTGGCTGCGGGCGCTGGGCCGGGCCTCCCGCGCAGAAGGCGATGACTGGTGAGTAGAGGTCCGGACCACGCCCCCGACCTTGGACCGCGGACAAACTGCTCCCCTGGCTGTCCTGTGCCCGAATGCCCAGGAGCTTCTAGCCAAGGAGATTCCGCCTTTCAGGCCCGCCTCCTGAGACCTGACCTCCTTCCAATCAGCAAAAGTCTCCCAGTCCTAAGCCCCGCCTACTGTCTTGTCTGACACCCAACGGACCCTCCAATCAGGGGCTCTACTAGACATTCTTAGCTCCGCCCCGTAAATTATCACTATTCCACACTCTCTGATTGGCTACCCGAGGACTCTCCATCTCCTGAGGCTGCCATCTAAACGCTGTTACAGGAAAGATAAGGTTAGCTCTTTAGAAAAGGTAAGAGGAGGGCCAGCAGGTTAAGGCACTGTGCTCCCACATGGCTGATGGCGGCCAGGACTTTGTGACTTAAAACTCAGGCCAAAGCCCAAAATCCTGAGAAGAGAATGGTGAAATGTGGTCACCCCTCCTAGGGGGGTGATTTCTCACTTTCCCTCTCTGTCTGTCTCTCTCTGTCTCCAGCAAGTACATGCACTCTATGGTGAAAACCTAAAATCTCCATTTACGTACAGTTTTTTTTTTTTTTTTTTTGGAGAGGTTTTTTCGCTATAGGGCGCGTGCGCTCGCCAGACAGAGACATAGAGACAGAAAGCGAGAAATCACCCCCCAGGGGGGATGGTCACGCCGCAATCCCTTCTCCTCCATTCTCCTCTCGGGATCTTGGGCACGCACGCACACGCGCCCGGCGTGAGATTTAAGCCACCGGGTCCGAGACGCGAACCGCGGTCGACTACGTGGGAGTCCAGCGACATAGCCATTACGCTAACTGCTGGTTCCCTTGTTTGTTTGTTTTTGTTTTGAGAAGTTTTTGCTATTGGGCCTGTGTTCTCGGCAGAAAGACAGAGAGACAGAAAGCAAGGAATCACCCTCCAGTGGGGATGGCCATGCTGCAATCCCTTCTCCATTGTCCTCTCAAGATCTTGGGCACCCACGCACACGCGCCCAGCGTGAGTTTAAGCCACCGGGTCCTGGACTCGAACCGCTGTCGCCTACATGGGAGTCCAGTGACATAGCCATTACGCCAACTGCTGGTCCTACATACAGTTATTTTAAAAAGAATGAAAGAAAATGTAAGACCGTTTTTAGGCTCAGGCTGGAGCAGGACTTCCTGATAACAGTCCGTCTCAGAGTTCGGGATCTGGGAGCCCATGACCCGGATGGTCCAGCAAAAGTCACATCCACATTTGGGGCTGCAGTTGTCCCATCTGTAAAATAGGGGTAATGATTTATATTACACAACCTCCCCTTTCTGGGCCGGTCGCTCAATCCTCATTTATGAAAAGAGAACAGGGCTGTTAGCAGTTCAGACTGGGATGTGGGCTTTTTTTTTTTTTGCTAGGAGACCCAGGTCACCTGCACGTCCCCAGTCCGGAGAGGGCCCTGGAGGCCCGGGTGGTCCCCCGGAGGTGAGCAGAGTGGAAGAGGGGCGCCCCTCAGAATCACCGGAGGTGGCTCGGCTCTCCAGAAGTCCGGGCAGACCTGGACTTCTCACTCCCAGCCCCACAGCAGACCTGAGGTCAGGACACCGGATTCGGAGGGCAAGGAGCCCAGAGTGCGTCTGACAGCACGGTGCTGGGGGCGTGGCCTGGGGAGGGCGTGGCCTGGGCTGATTGGGGCGTGGCTTGTGCCTTACCAGGGAGTGCGCGGGGCGCTGGGACTCCTGTGGGGCCACGGCCTCTCGGGGAGGTTATAAGGAGGAGCTGCCACAAACGGGAAATTATTTAGGATCGGGTCAGTATATCGTCCAGAGGGACAGCGAGACAGCGAAGTCAGACGCGTCTTCGAGGCCGATGGGGGTAGGGGAGTCGAGTTGATTCAGTCCCCAACTCTCTCCTTCCCGCAGCCTGTTCCCACCCCTCTCTCGCCCGCCCTCCCCTCTGAGCCTCCCCCGTCCCCGTTCCGCTCCTGCTCGGAGACCTCCTCCCTCCTCAGGAGAGACAGCGCCGCCGCTGGCCCGACCTCACACCCCATTGAGTCGCATCGATGTCCGGCCTCCTCCAGATTGGGGTCCCCAGCGCCAGACCCTCTCCCGGCCCCCCACTCCCCGCCGTGGACTCTCCTCTGAGGCTGGGGAAGGAAGGCCTCCTAGAGGTGCCCAGCACTGGAGTCAGGAGCCCAGGACACAGGTGAGCAGACGTGTGGGGGACTACATCCCCCATCAGGCCCTCGGGCTGATTTCTGGGCTGTCTGCCCGCCATGGCATTGTGGGAAGTGTAGTCCTTTATGATCACAGCTGGCTGAGATGTGGAAGAAGGCGGACTCTATCTCCCACAAGGGCTGTCTTTCCAGGCTGGCTTTTGGCCTTTTGCTTTTTGTGTGTGTGAGAGAGATTTTTTTGCTATAGGACAAGTACGCTTTCCAGAGAGACAGAAAGTAAGAAATTACTGCCCAGGGATGGCCACACCGTAATCCCTTCTCCTGCATTCTCCTCTCGAGATCTTGGGCAAGCACACACGCCCAGCCTGAGTTTCAGCCACCGGATCTGGGTCTTGAACTGTGATCGACTATGTTGTGGGAGTCCAACGACGTAACCATTATGCCATCTGCTGGTCCCGATTTCTTTTTTTTTAAAGAGAGATTTTTTTTTAATAGGGAGCTCACCGAAGAGACATTGAGACAGACCACTTGCTGGCCCCAAGTTTTAGGGTTCTTTTTTGTAGAAGTTTTTGCCTTAGGGCATGTGCACTCATGTATGCACTCATGGGGGAGAGAGACAGAGACAGTGAGAGGGAATGTGAGAAATCGCCCCCCCCCGGGGGGATGACCACACTGCAATCCCTTTTCCTCCATTCTCCTCTTGGGATCTTGGGCACGCATGCACATGCGCCTGGCATGAGTTTTTAAGCCACCAGGCCCAGGACTTGAACCACAGTTGGGTATGTGGGAGTCATCTGCTGGTGCCATGGACACACCAATTTCTAAACATCTCTATGTCAATATTTCTAGCCTCCTTCTGGCTCCTCCACTTACCTCCAGCTCCCGCCGCGACCCCCGGGAACCCGGGCCTCCCTGGTGTTACTGGTAGGTATCTCCAGGGACCCCACATCTCCAGAGCTCCCCCTTGCTTTCTTTGCTGTGGGGAGTGCCACCCCTGGACTGGCATGCCTTGAGAAGACTAGGTCATCACAGGCCCGGGTAGGTGCCTGTGTTCGTATGGCTGTGTCACCGAGTGCCACAGACAGGCTTAAAACAGCAGAAACAGATTGTCTCATACTTCTGGAGGCCAGAGGTCTGGAGTCAAGGTATCAGCAAGATTATGCTCTGTCCTCCTTTTTTAATTTCTCAGAGGGCACAAAATCTCACCAGAGACAGAGACAGAGAGGGAGAAAGCATCCCCAGGGGGGCATGGCCACACTGCCAACCCATCTCCATTCCAGTGGGGTCCTGGGCACACATGCACATGTGCCCAGCACGACCCTTAAACTGTCAGAGCTGAGACTCACATCCCAGCTGGCCATGGGGGGTCTGGCTTTCTTAAGCACCAGGCTATGGGGCCCACCTCCCCCAACAGTTTTTGTTTTGTTTCAGTGTGCTTTAGGGCACATGAGCTTGTTGGAGAGAGACATATAGAAAGAGAAATCACCTGTGGAGATGGCCACATCACAATCCCTTCTCCTCCATTCTCCTTTCAGGATTTTGGGCATGCATGTGCATGTCTGTATTTCTTTCTTAGAGAAGTTTTTACTATAGGGCTCATGCTCTCACCACAAAGAGACAGAGACAGAAAGCAAGAAATCACCCCTTGGGGGAGATGGCCATGCCCCAACCCCTTCCCCTCCAATCTCCTCTTGGGATCTTGGGCATGTACGCACACGTGCCCAGTGTGAGTTTAAGCCACCGGGTCTGGGGCTCGAACCGTGGTCAACTACCTGGGAGTCCAGCGACATAGTCATTATGCCATCCGCTGGTCCCATCTTTCCTTTTTTTAAAAAAAAAAATAATTATTTATTTACCATTATTATTATTATTATTTTAATTTGACCAGACAGAGACAGACAGAGAGAGAAGGAAAGTGAGAAAGCAAGCTGCCACGTCCAGGATTTGAGCTGTAGTCAGCCATGTGGGACTCCAGGCCCAAATTACCATGCAACCTGCCAGTGTCAACCCAGTGTTTTCTTTGAAGCCATTGGCTCTGAGACTTGAACCATGTGGTCAGCCATGGGATCTTAACCACCACCACTTCACTGGCCCTCCCTTTCTTAACTTTCTCTTTCTCTCTCTCTCTCTCTCTCTCTCTCTCTCCCTGGTCAAATTTAAATACATACATATAAAGTGAAATAAAATAATTCTTTTAAAAACGTTTATGTATTTCTTCTATGACACGGAGAGAGGCATTCTCAAAAGGGGCGTCACACTGCACTCCGTCCCCAGTCTCGGGGGCTCAGATCACCGGCCCGCATGCTCTGCTTGTTCAGGCCAGTCCTGGGACGCAAACATGGGCCCTTCCCCTGCGGGTCCTGTTGTGCTAGCGTTGCGGCACCACCTGGGGGGCTTTTTTTTTTTTTTTTAGAATTATTTTATTTCACTTTATTTATTTATTTGATCAGAGAGAGACAGAGCGAGAGAGAGAGAGTAAGAGAGAGGGAGAGTGAGAAAGCAAACTGCCAGGTCTGGGACTTGAGCCGCGGTCTGCCGTATGGGAGTCCAGTGCCCTTAACCACCATGCCACCTGCTGGCCCCTCTCAAAGCTATTAATACAAATCTGGCATTTGGGTTACTGAGGTTTGCGGTGTTCCTGAGGGGTGCTCGTGAATAGGCACAGTGTGGCTAGCACTGAGTTACAGTAAGGACCTGCCTGGGAGCCAGCAGGTGGCTTTATAGAGGTTAAGGTGCTGGTCTCTCACGTGGCCACTGTGGTTCGAGTCCCAGGCCTGGTGACTTGAAACACAGGCCGGGTGCATGAGTGTATATGCCCAAAATCCTAGGAGGAGAAGGGATTGCTGTGTGGCCATCCCCTTGGGGGATGAATTCTCACTTTCTCTCTCTCCATCTCTCCAGTGAACATACATGCCCTACAGCAAAACATCTCTAAGTATTTATTATATTATATATTATATAGTAAAGAAGGAAGTGTCTGTCCCCTTTAACTTGGTTTTGCTCTTTTTCCTCAGCCGGGTCCCCCCCTGGACTCACCCTTCCACCAAAGCTTGGAGACAGATGTAAGTTCTCCTGGAACCAGCCTATGCTGCCGTCCCAGAGTGAGGGAGAGAATGTTCTAGATGGTGGGGGAAGGACAGGGACCAGCAGATCTGGCCCACACATGGCCCCTGCTCCTTCTGCAGACCCTGTTGACCAAGCTGTGCGGGCAGGACCGGCTCCTGAGGAGGCTGCAGGAGACGATAGATCAGAGGCAGGAGGAGAAGGTACCAGGCCTCTCTGCCCGCCCTCTGCTTTCCTGCCCCCCAGCATGCTGGGCGCGAGGATGTGGGTGCCTTCTCCCTCTCTGGGGCCGGTGTGGCTTCAGAAGTCTGACCACCTTCCCGTGCCTGCAGGAGCAGCTGGAAGCAGCCCTGGAGTTGACCAGGCAGCAACTGGGCCAAGCCAGCAGGGACGCAGGGGCTCCTGGGCGGGCCTGGGGCCGCCAGCGCCTCCTACAGGACCGACTGGTCAGTGTGAGGGCCACTCTTTGTCATCTGACTCAGGTGAGCATCTGGGAAGGGGCACACCTTGCTATGAGGCCCCCGGCACTATTCTCATCCTCATGAAGGGGACCTGCTGCAGGAGATGAAAGGAAATTGGTTCTAGAGAATTCCATCCACCCCAAACTTCAGCCCAGTAATCTTGACCATTTTAGAGGGTAAGGGGCGAGCAGCCAAGAAGTAGATCTTTAGCAGTTAAGAGGGTGATTTTTTTTCTCTTTTTTTTGGAGAGGTTTTTGCTATAGGGCGTGTGCACTCGCCAGACAGACAGAGACAGAGAGACAGAAACTGAGAAATCATCCCCAAGGGGGGATGGCCACACCACAATCCCTTCTCCTCCATTCTCCTATCGGGATCTTGGGCACGCACGCACACGCGCCCAGCATGAGTTTAAGCCACCGGGTCCGGGACTCGAACTGCGGTCGACTACATGGCAGTCCAGCAACATAGCCATTACACTAACTGCTGACCCCAAGAGGATGATTTTGAAGGTCAGCTCCCATGTATGGTAGCTGTGTGACCTTAGAACAGTTACTTAACCCCTCTGGGTCTAGATGCCTTCTCTGTAAACTCAAGGTGGTAAAAGTAGTATTTGCTCTGTCGGGCCATTGGAGGACTAGGTTAACGCCTGAAGATGAATGAACATTTAACGCGGAGGGACCTGGTCCACTGTAAGCAGGATTCAAGCATTCGCCATAATGCTTATCACCTGTGAAGGGCGGCTGACGGCAGTACCGCCTCCCGCGAATCCCGTGAGCGCAGAGAACAGGCCGCAGCGAGCGCCCGCGTGCCGGCTGCTGTAACCACTGCGCTGGCAAGTCCCTGCTGCCAGGGGTCTGTGGGTATTGTGGTGTGACCCTCCTAAGAATTCACGGATCCGTCCTCATGCTAGGGGATGCAGAGGTAGCCCAGAAGATTCAGGGAACACTGTTCTGTGTCTACACTAGCAGCTCCTTGGACCTGCGGGTCCACATAGACTGAGGGGTTCCCAGGAGTCTCATATACCCCTCGTCGGGGACCAGGACGCCCTTTCTCCTCCTCAACTGGGAAGAGATGGGGTGGGGAAGATCGGGGGTGGAGGTGCTAACCTTATGTCTCCTTTTTCTGGGCCCTGAGGAGCGAGAGCGGGTTTGGGACACGTACAGTGGCCTGGAGCAGGAGCTGGGCACCTTAAGAGAGACCCTGGAGTACCTGCTGCACCTCGGGTCCCCCCAGGTACGTCCCTGCTCCAAGACCCCAAGCCTCACCCTCCAGCAGGCTCCGAGTGCCATCTGGAAACCCTGTCCGCAGTTAAGCCCCGCCCACAGAGTCGAAGCCCCTCCCACTCCTTTCTGAGCCGTTATTATGATTGAGACTGTAGGTAATTTTTTTTTTTAGAGGTTTTTGCGGTAGGGCGCATGCGCTTACCAGAAAGACAGAGACAGAGGGACAGACAGTGAGAAATCACCCCCCGGGGGGATGGCCATGCCGCAATCCCTTCTCCTCCACTCTCCTCTCGGGACCTTGGGCACACATGCACATGTGCCCCACGTGAGTTTAAGCCACCCGCGGTCGACTACATGGGAGTCCAGTGACATAGCCGTTACGCTAACCGCTCGTCCTGGTAATTTTTAAAAAATTAATTATTTGGGGCTAGCAGTTGGCATGATGGTTAAAGGCGTTGGACTCCCACGTGGTCAACAGTGGTTTGAGTCCTGGATCTGGTGGCTTAATTTCTCACTTTCCCTCTATCTCTGTCACTCTCTGGTCAAAATAAAATAAAATAAAATAAATAATTTTTTAAAAAGAAAGGATTATTTAATTTTCATTTTATTTATTCATTCATTCATTTTAATTTGACCAGAGAAAGACAGAGAGAGAAAAGGAAACTAAGAAAGCAGGAAGAGAGAGAGAGAGTGAGAAAGCAAGCCACCAGGTCCAGGGCTCAAACTGTGGTCAGCCATGTGGGAGTGTCCAGCATCTTAACCACCACACCACCTGCTGGTCTCTGTGTACCTAAACTTTAAGATCTATTTTCAGATTGAGGACCCCTGTCTCAGTGCTTTGAAATCTCTCTTATGTCGGAGCCCTGCCCTGGCCTCCAGGGCAGATGGCGGGCGGTGGTAACACAGCACTCTGCAATGCTGGCCCATGTGGGAAGGTCCCTGGCTGGTGACAGGGCCTCTCTTTCCATGCTGGGAATGTGATACCCTTAACCATGACCAGGGCTGACTAAGGGAGGAGGTGGATGGCAGCATGGACACCCTGCTAGGGGTGCCTTTGTATCTTTGGTGGACAAATAAACTTTTTAAAAAATGGGGCCAGCAGTTAGGGTAGTGGTTTAGGTGCTGGACTCCCACATGGTTGACTGTGGTTCAAGTCCTAGACCCAGAAGCTTGAAACTCACACCGGGCACATGTACGTGTGTGCCCAAGGTCCTCAGAGGAGAATGGTGGAGAAGGGATTGCGGTGTGATCATCCCCCCCTGGGGAGGGTGATTTCTCACTTTCTGTCTCTCTGTCTCTGTCTCTGGTGAGCGCATATACTCTATGTTCTAAGCCTAATCCCTCAGTGCACACCCTGCTCCTAAAGCATGAGCCCTGCTGCTTAGCCTCACACCCACTTCATTCTAAGTCTGCCCATGGAGTCCTGAAGCATAAATCTTTAGGTGAAAACATGCACTTCTGGTATTAAATCTTTCCTCACAGATTTGAGCCCCCCCCCCTTTTTGCTCTAGCCCCTCCCACTTTATCCTAAAACCTACCCTTAACTCCAATTTCCTACCTACTGTTGTTCAATAGTACTCAGCATTGGAGCTAGCAGGTGCCATGGTGGTTAAGGCTCTGGACTCCCACACGACTGACTGCAGTTCAAGTCCTAGACCTGGCAGCTTGAAAAGTCATGCAGAACATGTGTATATGTGTGCCCCAAATCCCAAGAGGAGAGTGGAGGACAAAGGATTGTGGTGTGGCCATCCTCTCTGGGGAAGGGGGTGTCTTTCCCTCTCTATGTGTCTCTCTGGTGAGCACAGGCACCCTATAGCAAAAACCTAAAAAAGAAAAAAGTGTATATATATATATCGCTCAGCATCAGCAATATCTAAAAAAACACTCCATCAGAGCCAAATTGGGTTTATTACAGGAATGCAAGGTTAGTTTAACCCTGAAAAATCAGACCGAGTATTTTACCACATTTAACAAAATAAAGGAGAAACACTGAATGGTCATCTCAAGACATGCAGTAAAAATGTGACCAGTTCAACACTCATTCAAGATCAAAGCTCACAGCAAAGTAGGAATAGACAGAACGTCCTTAATCTGATAAAAGATTATCTTTGACAGACCTACAGCAAACATGATAGCTAGCAGAGAGACTGAAAAATGTTTCCTCTGATGTCTGCAATGAGAGGACCATCTGCTAGTGCCATTTCTTTCCTTCTTTTTTTAAAAATTATTTTATTTAACTTTATTTATTTATTTACTTATTTTTAATTTGACCAGAGAGGGACAGAGTGAAAAAGAGAGGAGGGAAAGTGAGAAAGCAAGCCACCAGTCCTGGGACTCGAACCACAGTCAGCCATGTGGAAGTCCAGCGCCCTTAACCAGCACGCTACCTGCCGGCCCCTGCTAGTACCATTTCTAGTTGATGTTGTACCAGGCCCCAGACAGTACAATTAGACAGTAATTAGGGCCATGCTCAGTGACACAGCAGTAACACGTTGCTCAAGTGTAGCTGAAGCTGGATCCACATGGAAGGTCACGGGTTCCATTCCCCGGTTGACTTCTACATACTAGACATGCGTGCCCATGGTCCTGGCTGGCTGCTGGGCTGGGTGGGGGGTGTCAGGTGCAGACCGCAGCATGGGACCCTGTTGAGGGTGCTTCTCTCTCTGCCTCTGTCATGTAATAAATGAAATGTACAAAGATAGCACAGTTAGGGCCAGCAGGTGGCATGGTGGGTAAGACCCCAGACTCCGCGTGGCTGGCTTTGTGGGCTGAGTCAGACCTAGCAGCTTGAAAACACACTGGGCGTGTGCATGCATGCCCCAAATCTCGAGAGGAGAACGGAGATGGGTTTGCTGCATGGCCGTCCCCCACGGGGTGCTCTCTCACTTTCCCTCTCTGTCTCTGTCTGGCAAGCATACACTTTATGGCAAAAATCTTTTTTGGGGGTGTGGGGAGGTTTTCGCTATAGGGCGCGTGCACTCGCCAGACAGACAGAGAGACAGAGAGACAGAAAGCGAGAAATCACCCCCCAGGGTGGATGGCCACGCCGCAATCCCTTCTCCTCCATTCTCCTCTCGGGATCTTGGGCACGCACACACACGCGCCTGGCGTGAGTTGTAAGCCACCGGGTCTGGGACGCGAACCATGGTCGACTACGTGGGAGTCCAGCAACATAGCCATTACGCTAACTGCTGGTTCCCATGGCAAAAATCTTAAAAAAAAAAAAAAAAGGTGCTATTAAATAAATCAAAGGCATAGGGCCAGAAGGTAATAAGTAAAACCATTTCGATTCATAGATGACCTAATATTTACCTGTAGAAAGTCCAAAATAATTTCCAATTGAAGCTTTAGAATAAGCAAGTTCAGTAAGTTCACTTGAGGTTAAGATGCAAAAATCGCTGGTTTTCTGAATACGAAT